TATCCTATATAATAAAAGGGTAATATGCAAACTGACCCGGGGGCAGGCAGAACAACTGGGAATGACTGGTCACTATGACACACACTGACCACCAGGGGGCAGATGCTCAATGCAGGAGCTGCCCCATGGTGGACAGTGTGCTCCCACAGGGGGAGCTCTGCTCAGCCACAAGCCAGGCTGATGGCTGCCAGTACAGCAGTGATGGTGGGAGCCTGTCCCTCCTCCTCAGCAGCGTTAAGGAAGTCTGACAGCAGCTTAGATCTGCTCCCCGCTGGCAAGTGGACATCCCCCAAGGGCTCCCAGGCTGCCAGAGGGATGTCTGATTGCCAGCTTAGGCCAAATCGTCCTGGGAGCGGGCCTAAGCCAGCAGGTGGTCATCCCCCGAGGAGGAGTCCCAGACTGCAAGAGGGCACAGGCCTGGCTGAGGGACCCCCCACGACCACCGAGTGCACAGATTTTTGTGTACCGGGCCTCTAGTCATGTTATATAAAGGTCTAACTTTCTATTTATTTTTTTCTTTCTTTATTGAATTTATTGGGGTGACATTGGTTCACAAAACCATACAGCATTCAAGTGTACAATTCAATGAAACATCACCTGCTCACTGCATCGTTTACGGTCTCCCCAAGCAACGTGTATTTCCATCCTCCAGACTCCTGCAGCCACCATGGAAAACAGTACGGAGTTTCCTCAAAAAGTTAAAAAGCAGCGAACTGCTTTTTGACCCAGCGATCCCACTTCTGGGCATAGAACCTAGGAATCCTGATGCACTAATTGGGAAGAATATGTGCACCCCTATGTTCATTGCAGTGTTATTTACAGTAGCTGAGATCTGGAAGCAGCCCAAGTGCCCATCAGTAGATCAGTGGGTCAAGACACTGTGGTACATGGGATACTATGAGGCCATACAAAGAGGGAAATCTTACAGCATAGATGGACCTGGACAATATTATGCTAAGAGAAAGAAGCCCGTCAGAGAAAGACAAATAACGTTCTGTTTCTGTACAACATCTCATCTCAGACCAGGGAAAAGCAATTCCCTGATGCACAACAGGCTGGCCAGCACTCTGAGGAGCACTTGGTAGGGAATGGTGGAGATGGCACTTGAAAGAGGTTGGAGCGAGACTGCCAGGAATCTTGTGCATGATTAAAGAATTCCAAACTTTATGTTCTTAAAACTGCCATAAATTATCTTCCCAAATTTATTTGCACTGCAGGTTAACTCGCTTAAGACTTCTATGCTGGGCCCTAACTGGTTTGGCTCAGTGGCTAGAGCGTCGGCCTGCAGACTGAAGGGTCCCAGGTTCAATTCCGGTCAAGGGCATGTACCTTGGTTGCGGGCACATCCCCAGTAGGGAGTGTGCAGAAGGCAGCTGATCCATGTTTCTAACTCTCTATCCCTCTCCCTTCC